GCCCCTCCGGGCCCGCGCCGCGCCTCCGCCCGCGCGCGCTGCCCCGACCCCGCGCGCCGCGGCAGGGAGGGGCCGGCGGAGGCGGAGCCAGCGGCGGCGGAGGCTGGAGGCTCCCGCGCGGCTCCGGGTCACGGATCCCAGATCCCGGCGCGGAGAGGTAGGAAGCGGCGCGGGGGCCCGCACAAGGGACTCGGGGGGGGGGCGCGGCGGGAGGGGGGCGGGAGGGGGCGCGGGGACCCGCCCCTCGCGTGCGCGGCAGCCTCGCGGTCCCCCCCCCCTCTCCAGCGGGGGCTCGGCTTGCGGCCCGCGGTCCCGCTCGCTGCGTCCCGTGGGTCCCACTCCTTCCCGCCGCTCCGCATCCCACCACCCCCCACTCCATCCCCGGGAACCTCGGGCCCAGCCCCACCCCCCCTCGCCCGTGGTGGTGGTGGGGGGATTCTCATCAGATGCGTTCGCGGCTTGTCCCCCCCGCCCCCAGGTTCTTTTGGAAAGCGGCTGGAGTGAGGGGGTTGGGGAGCCGGGGGGGGGGCACAGCTGGAAGCTACCGACGGGTGAGCCCGGCGTGGGGGCGGGGGCCGGGTACCATTCTTCTGCCTTTCGTGTGGCTGGTGCTCCACACGCAGCGGGCTGGCTCCCTGTCTGCCGAATGAATGAATCATGAGTCCTTGTCCCTCTCTGAAGGAGGACTTTTTGAGGTCCACGTGCTGCAGAGCACCTGCTGGGGAGGGGCCTCTTGGGATGGGGTCCCTGCTTCTGGTAGAGCAGAAACTCCGCTCTCGCTGCCTTCAAGCTGAAGCTCCCTTCGGATTGGGGACCGGGAGGTGGGGTAGAGAGTGGGAGCTCTTGCAGGCCTTAACCAGGTATTTGTTGAAGGGATGTTGGGACGCAAACAAGCACTCTTAGAAGGTGGCAATAGAGAGGGCAGAGCATTCCGCACAAGGCGGGGACTCTTGGCACTGCCAAGGTCAGTGATCTGGGTACCTGTTCTGGCTCAAAACTTACTTAGGGACCCTCGGCCTCTGTTTCTACAGTAGTGAAACGGGAGCATTGGTGTTTATCCTTCAACGTTTTATGCATGGTCAGAAAAGAGCAGGGCATATTGGGGGCATTCGACAAGGGGTGCCCCCTGCCCACCCTCCCCCCTGCAAAAAGTGACTCCCCCGCCCTCTTCTCATTTCTTCTGTCCTCACAGAGGTCATAAGCAGAACCTGGTGATGTGTGTTCACTGCTGAGTGATCCCTCTCCCACCCTCACAAACTGTAGTAGGGTCAGCTGGGGGACCTGCCGGGCACAGGCATGCCAGTGCTGTCCGAAGACTCGGGTGAGTGTCCTCAACCTGGGCTACACCTGCTAGGCCCCCCAGGATTGGGGGTGGAGGGTGGGGAAGCAACCCAAAGCAAACCAAAAGCAGTGGAGCGGTGTGGCCTCTGGAAACCATGCTGCCTGCCACCAGGGAGAATGCTGGCAAGGCAGGACGGGAACTATCTGAGAGTCTTCCCAAGGACAGCAAGTCCCACTGTTTCTGGATCTTGTTTTTGTTTTTGTTTTTTTTTTTTCCTCCACTCTCTCTCAGGTTTGCATGAGACCCTGGCACTGTTGACCTCTCAGCTCAGGCCTGACTCCAACCACAGGGAGGAGATGGGCTTCCTGAGGGACGTTTTCAGTGAGAAGAGCCTCAGCTATCTGATGAAGGTGAAAGCCGGCTCACCCCCCCCCTCCATCCCCAAGGGAGGCTCCCCCTGTGTCATCTCAGCCACTTCCCTGCCCCACGGAGGGCTTTTTAACTCATTAGGCGGGGCTTTCCGTACACATTGCTGTGGAGGGGACCCGGCCTGTGGCCCTGGGTGTCACCACAACGCTGGGGGGGGGGGGGGCGTGTGTGGTATGCAGGGTAAAGCAGAAACCCAAGTGTCTTTGCAGATTCACGAGAAACTCCGCTACTATGAGAGGCAGAGTCCGACGCCAGTTCTGCACAGCGCCATGGCCCTTGCTGAGGATGTAAGCCCCAGATTTTAATGTTTTGACTTAAGGTGGAGCACCCCCTTCCCCCCAAGTCCAGAAAAGGCTCTAGCTCGCCTTGTAACCACTGCTTAGCTGGGAATGTTAGAGGTGGGGAGCCTGAGAATGAAGAAGGAGGGATTGCTTCCTCTCCCCCTCCTTTAGGGTCTCTGTCTCTCTCTCTGTCTATCTGTCTGTCTATCTCTGTGTGTGTGTAGTCTGTATTTGTGTGTGTGTTGCTGGGAATCAAACTTGAAGCCTTGTACACGCTAGGCAAGTGCATGGCCGAGCTGTAGCTCCAGTTCTCTCTGAGCTTTCCGGCATCAAGGAGAGCCTTGTTAGCCTTAGCGTGGGCCAGGAAGCATGGTGATTCCTGCTGACTATGTACTCCGGAGCAAGCCTGTTCCCTCGGCTGTAAAATGAGAGCTTTGGCTCCTATCAACAGCTCCCCACCTGTTCCAAGAACTGGCGATATTAGTAGGTCAGAGAGTGCCTTGTGCCTTGAGGCTGGCCTGAAGTCCTCAATTCAAGGGACTTCATGTGTGTCCCTGCTGACTGGCTCTTGTTTCTTGACTTTTCATGGGCCCAGTCCTGTGGGTTTTGGTTTAGCTGTCTGGGTTGGTGACCTAGACTGACTTCTATATAGATCACCTAATATCCGGCTAGTTAACTGGGCTCTTTCCCTGAGAGCCTCAAGCCACAAGGACTCTGCAGAGGATGGTGGAGTCTGGCTGACCCTGTGCCTTGCACCTCTGCAGTCTGAATATCCGGAGTGGGCTCCACCACCCAGGCCCTGCACTGCCAATTTTGCCACAAGCTGTGTGACCTTAAAGAAGTCACTGAAAGCTGGGCACGGTGGTGCACACCTGCAATCCCAGCACTCAGGGAGGCAGAGGCAGGCAGGATGTCTGGGAGTTTGAGGCCAGCCTGGTCTACAGAGGGGGTTCCAGGACAGCCAAGGCTACATAGAAAAACTCTGTCTCAAAAAAGCTAAACAAAACACAAAAAGAACTCAGTGGACCTGCTCCCCCCCCCCCCCCGCCGCGCTTCCTCATCCATGGTGTGAGGGGCGTAGACTGTTCAGCCAGACAAAGCTGGGTTTGAACTCTGGCTGTGTCACTGTGTGCTTTGTCATCCTGGGCAAGATTTGTGCTCTCTCAGGGCCTCATCCTTCATAGCAAAATTAAAGCGCTCATGGCTTCCAGTTTGTCGAGAAGACCCGTAGAAAGCAACAGTGTACGTTAGACTCTCCCTCCGCACGTATGTGTGTGAGTGGTCCCTGGCTTAATTTCCCCAGAGCCTCTGCCAGTCCTGGAGTGGCAGGTGTGACGTGTTTCTCATTGTGCTGCATTCATTCCTGAGAGGATCCTTGTGCCTGAGGCCCAGGGAAGAGGGCTTCCCCACCCCCATCCCCCCAGTGCCGGGGATTCCATTAGGCTCCCTCAGGGGCACCTCAGCCTCCCGTCTCCTTCTCTTACAGGTGATGGAGGAGCTGCAGGCTGCCTCCGTGCACGGTGACGAGAGGGAGCTGCTGCAGCTGCTGTCCACTCCCCACCTCAGGGTAGTCATGCCGTGGTCCCCGCACACCCACACAGCTGTGCCTCCCGGGACCCGGGACCCGGGACGGGGGTGGAGGGCGCGTTGGAGATGGAGTCTTGAGATGGAGAGGAGGAGGAGGCTTCTATGTGAAGGATCCTGAGAGATGCTCTGAGGAGGGGCACGTCTGTTAGGCAGAAGACATGAGCCCCTCGCTACCCCTGCCCAGCCAAGGGCCTTATCTAACTTTGTGAGGGCACAGAACCAGCCCTTTCCTCTGGCTTCTCCGGCAGGCTGTGCTCATGGTGCACGACACGGTCGCCCAGAAGAATTTTGATCCCGTCCTGCCCCCTCTGCCCGATAATATCGATGAGGATTTTGAAGAGGAATCAGTGAAAATCGTTCGCCTGGTGAAGAATAAGGAGCCCCTGGTATGTGCCTGCCTTTCCCCCCACAATCCTTTGCATCTCACCTCTAACCCAGAAAACCAGGAAGGCCACCCTACCGGATCCGGGGTGACTGCTGTTCTCTGTGGCACCTTGGTGTGCAGGACACTTTTTTTTTTCCTGAGTGGACACAGTGCCTCTCAATTGTGACTAGGGCATTTCACGCAGTGAACAACCCGGATGTCCGGAGACCATGGACGTCTTGCTCAGATGCTCAGAGACAGAAGTTAGCAGACTCAGTCTGAGCGCCAAAGGTAGCCCACAGCTTAACACAGTTGTTTTTGAAAGCAAGGTGATGCCCATTCATTTGTCACAAAGAGTAACAGCAGTGGAGACCCGAGCCACCCCCCCTTTCCTCCCCGACCAAAGCCTCAGACATGTCTGCGCTGTCCTTTATGGACAAAGTTTGCTGATCCAGCTCTGAATACAGCCACACAGTGCAGGCAGCAGCCACACTCCCAGAGGCTGGCGGGTAAGCGAGGTCTGTGCCCCCTGCTTTCAGCAGCGGTGGACTGGGCAAAGAGGCGAGTTTGTTTATCAGAGGGAGTGGAAGATGTTTGGAGGATTTAGAACCCCAGAGCTGGCACTCTCTGGGTCCAGTTCTCCCCAGCTGCCCTGTGATGGGTGAGCCATACCCCCACCCCCCCCCAGATGAAGATGTCTCCGGTGCCTCTGCTTCCTCGCCCGGGCCATGGAATGGGCATACGTTCTGGGGTTCCTCCTGTGCACTCGCAGTGTTGGCGGTGGCGGAGGGTGGTCCAGAGAGGAATATGGGATGTGCAGTGACGTGGGAACTTTGGAGGCCAGGGCCCAGGGAGCCTCGGGAGGTGCAGGGGACGGCCTCTGTGGTCAGAAGAATACATCTTTTGTACCGATGACGACACGGATGCCGTGATGACAGATGCGCAGTGTTTTGAGTGGATTAATCAGTAACAAATGACGAACATTTATTGGGCACTAACTGTTTACATGTCACATGCATTTCCCTTCTGGGACCCTTGTAACAACCTTTCAGGCTAAATGCTCTTCCTCATCCCAGAGGAGGAGGAGGCAGGCTCAGAGAACACAAGGTACCCTCTCAATGACGCAGTAAGTCTTCTAGTCAGCGGCTGAGTTGGAGATGAATCTTGGGCAGTCTATGCTTGCCCTACCCCCACCCCATGGTGGCATGACCTTACTTACTTGATACAGGAAATTAGGAGCTCATTAGTGCCTTTTTTTTTTTTCTTAATCCCTGATTTGTGTGTGTGTGTGTGTGTGTGTGTGTGTGTGTGTGTGTGTTTCACCGGCCAAATCCTGGTCCCAATGCTCTGGGTGGGAACATAATTGGTTCCTGTTGGCAGCAGCAGAAGGCCCAGGAACACTGGGATCGGCTCAAGGCAGGTTGAGAATTTGCGAGCACAGACTGTCCTCATTATTAAGTGTCTTTGCAAGTGGCAAGGGCTGGTGATGAGACAGAGAAAACACTGGGTTTGGCATCCTCAAAAGCTCTCCCTGCTTCCATGAGGGTGACTTTGAAGATGTTTAGTTTGATACCCAGTCCTTCGTGCATTATTTATTTATTTATTTATTTATTTATTTATTTATTTATTTATATAAAATTCTAATTGAGTTTATTTGGGGGGTGGGGTGTTTATGTGTGTTGTCACAGCACAGATATGGAGATCAGAAGACAACTTGTGGGAATTGGTTCTCTTTCAGCCATGTGCGTCCTGGGGGTTGAACTCAGGCATGGTAGGAGATGCATTTTGAGACCGAGTCTCAAGTAGCTGCAAACTCCTTATGCAGCTGAGGATGACCTTGAAGTCTTAATTCTCCATTCTCCACCTCCCGAGTGCCTGGATTGCAGGCTAGGGCCACTCGACCCCACTCAGGCAGAATGGATCACTGTGTTTTGTAAACTGTAAAGTGTGACGCTTTGCTCATTTACAACACCCTCACCCCCCCCCCCCCCATCGAGGCTGCCTGCGTGGAGCTTCATTCGTCCCATCGTCTCTCATTCAGGGTGCCACTATCCGGAGGGACGAGCACTCGGGGGCCGTCGTGGTGGCCAGGATCATGCGAGGGGGTGCGGCGGATCGGAGCGGTGAGTAGAGCCTGTGGGGTGATGGGGTGATGGGGGGCCAGCCCAGCTGAGATGGTGGCTCTCTATCTCCCCACCTCTAGGGTAACCTTTGTGGGAGAGGGATTTGCTTTGCTTTGCTCTGGGGATTGCGGATGGAATTCTCAAGGTCCCAAAGGTCAATAGGAATTTAATAGAAGCTTAATAGGTTTGGAGTTCTCGTGGGTGATCAGGAAAGGGCTTAGGCATTTGGTGCAGGCAGAAGACTACAACTCTTAAGCTTGGAGATGGGCTTAGCTGGGGTGCGGACGGTCCCTGCCACCTCCAGGATCCTCATCACCTTTGAAACTGCTGTGGACAGGAGTATGTTCATGACCCAGGTGGAAAACATGTTGATAGTCATCAGTGCATGGGAGATCTGGTAGATAGGCCTCTTGGCGTATGAGGACTTTGCCCTCCAGGTCTGGGGAAATGACCGGAGATCCCAGACCTTACTTCCTAAACTAACAAGCACACACATTGGTAACATACAATAGACTCTGGTTCAGAAATCTGCACCTCCTATTGGTGGCGGCTGCTGCTGCTGGCCCAGTGCCCACTCCGAGTAACACGAGAGGCCAAATTATGTCAGGACACTTGTCATTAAAGTAGCGGCTAAGTGCTGCGTGGGGTGGCACTTGTGCCTGTAGTCTCAGCTGCTTGGGAGGTTCAGAAGAGATTGTTTCTTGCCTATAAGAGATCAAGACCAGCTTGGGCAATATATAGCAAAAGCCTGTGAAGGTAAATAAATAAAGCTGGGTCAGGTGCACAGATAAACTGGCATTGTAGGTGGTGATTAATATTTACTATTGATATATCTTCTGGTAAAGCTGTTGTTAATCCTAAAGAGCTGTATACCCAAATCACCACACAGACACTGGGATTTATTTAATTATCCTAGAACACAATGCTGGGCAATAGTTGCTCCATCCTAAACCTCCAAGCCCTCGCAGTTTCTACCATTTAGATTTCCCACATTATACTTGCTTTTTGTGATATATTAGGTCCAGTCCATCTCTCCACGTTGTTCCAAGACCTTTCCTCCTGCCTCAGTTCTCCCAGCTCTCCTGCCCTTCTCTCCTCCTCTGCCTCCCACCTTCCTGTCCTCTGGCTCCTCCCTCTCTTCCTGCTTCCTTTCCCTTGCTCAACATTGTAGCTAGTTGCTTTATTTTGGCATGTTTACACAAAGTTGAGACAGGTGATGCTTAAAATAGATATCACAATGCAATGTCTGGATTGAAACCAGAGAGTAGGGGAGAGAAATCAGCATTTGAATTAACAAGGGTAAGGTGTATATATTTCAAAAGAACATTATACCAACATTTCTCCCTTTAAGTCCAATAAAAGACTCCGTTTCTTTTAGTACAATAATAATTATGAAATTATGAAAACTGTTAGGTAAAATCTACATGTGCAATGTCCAGTCCATGTGTATTTAGCAACGTAGGAGAAAGTATCTGATTATCCTATCTATCTTGACAAGTTTAGAGTTCTATACCTAAATTAATCTTTATCCTTACTGGCATTACCTATATGAAAGGATTTCTTAACTTCTAAACAACTTAAGCTTAAATGTGGCACTATGACTATTTGGTCTTCAACCCCATCAGAGACTTGAGAAGGAATAAAATTAGGTTTTAGAGTAATTAGGAAGTGCATGTTAGCAGCTTCCAATAAATAAAAAATTGACAGAGACAGTTTGCTGCCTGAACAGTCACCCATAACTCTCTATAACGTTGGAGCATCATCTTTAGCCTTCTGGCTCAGAATATTTGACAGACATATATGTGAAGCAGGAAGTATTTAGGACTTGGTTACCCTGTCATGGCAGAGTTCGGCAGTCGACTTGTCCTGCATTTAAGTTTGCCCATTTTAGGCAGAATTTATCTGTCATGACACAAGGGTATTTTCTTTACCCGAGTGGCTCGTTTGCCACATTTGAGGCCGTCTCCATATGGAGGTTCTTCGATGCTCATTATCTTCTTTCAGGTAGGCGGGTGCTGCCAGGAAATGACTTGTCTCATTGTCAAAGAATCTTTAAAATAATAAAAACATTTTAAATGCCATATTCTGTAGGTCTCTGAAGTTTTTGAAGACTACCTATCTTTATACAATCGATCTGTCTACAAAATCATATCTATCTGTTAAACTAGGATGTATACCCCTGTGATAAATTAGACTAGTGTCTGACATGACTATGACTTGAATAACTAGCAATTAACCTGCATTACTTAATATCCTAACCAGTTTTTGATAGCAGTTTAAAAGTATTGGAAGTAACCTTGAAATTGTATCATTATACTAGAGCTTATACCAATGTGTCAAAAATACTTATTTTTGCATCAATATGCAAAATCCTATGCCAGAGTTAAAATTAACCTTATTGAGAACAAATAAAACCCTAAGTTGCATAGATTCAATAATCTACCTTTTGATTTATTCCCATAAGATATCCCTGTATACTTTCTTTTTAACCCCTTTTCTCCCTATCTAAGAAAGAAAGATAGAAAAAGGAAAAGAGAGAAATCCCTGAGTCTAACCTTGTTTCACTCTGAATAGGACCATTAATAATTTATAAACATCTCCCAGTGACAATGAACATTCGTAGCCATAGAAAATAACCAAAAACCTACCCAACCCCCTTTAAGGAAAATTGGTTGTCGTTCTTATGGATTTCTTCTAGCTGACATTTTGGACATGCAGAAATCCTGGTAGGGGCCCCAAAGAAAATTGGGAAAAACTGGTTAATGAAGCAAGCAATAACATTTGTGGTCCAGTCTTTGAATGTTGAGAAATTTCAGGCTTAATAAAAGTCCTGTTTGGAACAGTCTAAAATGCTGGACCAATTAAGATTAGTAGCTTTCTTCAAGGATCTCTTGGGACAGGCTTTGATGAGAAACAGCAATTGAAGCAGTTGAGGCAGGAACAAGCAGAATGCTGGAACATGCAAGATGCTGGAACAGATGTGTCAATGTCTCAGCATGCTGAAGGATGAATCCTGTCAAGTTTGATTCAGCATCTCTGGTATCCAGTTCTTTTTTTTCTTTTCTGCAAACATATAAGTTCTCACAAGCATTACAGAGTTCTAAAATTATAAATGTATGAGATGTGCAGGATGAAACTTAAACTGTAAGCCAATTTTATCTATGCCAATTAAAAGGTTAGCATAATACATTTTGAGGATATTATAGCCAAGGATTTATTGGCCAAGTATTGTTGAAGTTTTGGTTGGAGTCATATTTTTATGTCTCAGTTTTAGAGTTGTTCCCAAGTAAAGGGATCAGCAATATAAGTTACCATTATTATTGAACATACAATCATTATCATGATGAAATCAAAACAAGGTTGAATAGACATATCTTTTGGGGCTCTTGCGAGCCTGTTGTATTAGGCCAAGTTGCTACCTATTTCCCTAGAGAAGCCTCCCATTAGAGAGACAAGCTGGTTGCCTTGAGCAATAGAAAACACATGTTTTAAGTAAACTTTATATAAACTCCTTTTTAATTTAGAATATAAGCATACCATAGGTATCTTGTACCTTTTTAGAGGTTTTTTTCTTTCTCGCTCTCTTCTTTCCTTTCTTCTTTCCCTCCTTCCTTCCTTCCTTCCTTCCTTCCTTCCTTCCTTCCTTCCTTCCTTCTTTTTTGTATACAGTACTCTGTGTGTACAACTGCATGCCAGAAGAGGGCTCCAGATCTCACTATAGATGGTTGTGCGCCACCGTGTGGGTGCTAGAAATTGAACCCTGGACCCCTGGAGGAGCAGCCAGTGCTCTTAACCCCTGAGCTGTCTTTCCCGCCCCCTCTCGACAGCTTTCTATGCTGAGACACCTGTGTGTGCATGCCGGCTCAGTTACTTCTTAGCAACTTCTCAGCAGGGCCACTGTGTGCGCCTGGCTCTCGAAATGTACCTTGTACATGGGGACCTTCCCAGAGAATGGTTTGGATTCGATGCTGAGTGTGTGTCAGTCTTCCACATCTTTAGACCTGAATCTGCTCTGCAACGGCCTCCCCAGTGCCCAGAGGCATCAGGCAAGCACATGGCATATAGACATACATGCAGGCAAAACACTCACATATGTACAAAAATAAATAAAATTTTAAAATAGCCAAAAGAACATCAGGAAGGGGGGGAGGTCTTAGGACCCCTGAGGTCTAGGGCTGTGGGGAGTTGGAGTTCAATGCATTCCAGTGTAAAGGACAGTTCTAAGTGCTGAGCTGACCTCCATCCCCATGTCTCCTAGGTCTGGTCCACGTTGGTGATGAGCTCCGAGAGGTGAATGGCATTGCCGTCGTGCACAAGCGGCCGGATGAGATCAGCCAGATTCTGGTCCGTGTGGCATGCCTGCAGCTGGGGGAAGGGGTCGTGGGAGGGTGTCTTCAAGACCCAGAGCAGGGGCCCTCCCAGAGCCAGGGCAGACCTGCCTCTGCTTCCCTGTTTGGGTGAGAAGGGAGCAGGCAAAATGGTTTCCAGTTCACCCGCCTCTCTCTCTCAGCTCTTCTCTTCAGCATGGCCATCCTCTTCCTTCAGCCCAGTTCCCTTGCGGGAGAACCCTTTCAAGTCTTTAGCCTAGTCCAACTGATTTTCAGCCTCCTTGAAGGCAATTTAGAGAGAGGGTTTTTCGGCTCGTGCTTGGCTGTTGTTGGCGTGGAAGAACAAAGCACTTTATGACAGTGTGAAGATTCAGGGGGGATGAAAACAACATGACAGTCTGTTCTGGGGCAGAGGAGGCAAAGTGGAGATGGCGGCGAGTACCTCTGTGGCTGTGACAGGTCCATCCCTGGGTGTCTTCCAATGACTCTGCTAATTTCTGATGGTTGTGGGAGTGGGGCAAGCAAGAGCAGAGCTAAAGAGACGGGCTCTCCTTCAGCACCCCCACCCCCACCCCACCGTTGGGAGATACAGATGCAGCTGGCCCAGGAGTCCTGGGCTCCTGGTTGTGGACACCCAAATAGCCGAAGAGGGGCAGGAGAGATGGCTCAGTAGTTAAGAGCGCTGGCTGCTCTTCCAGATGCCTGAGGTTCAGTTCCCAGCACCCGGCAACCGTCTATAATTCCGGTCCCAGGGGATCTGATGCCATCTTTTGGCCTCCACAGGCATCAGGCAAGCACATGGCATATAGACATACATGCAAGCAAAACACTCACATACGTACAAAAATAAATAAAAATTTAAAATAGCCCAAAGAACATCAGGAAGGGGGGAGGTCTTAGGACCTCTGAGGTCTAGGGCTGTGGGGAGTTGGAATTCAATGCATTCCTGTCTTGCATTCCCCTTAAAATCTTCAGCCTCTCTCTCTCATGAAAAGGCATCGTGTCCATTTCCTACTTTTTCAGCCCAGCAGTAAATATTAACTGTCAAACTTGATATATATATATATATACATATATATATATATATGTGTGTGTGTGTATATATATATATAATTACTATCATATAATTATTATCATACTTGATATATATGTAATTTATTTTTATCTTATGTGCACTGGTGTTTTGCTTATATGTACGTCTGTGTGAGGGTGTTGGCTCCCCAGAACTGTAGCTACAGGCAGTTGTAAGCTGCCAGGGCCCTTAACCACTGAGCCGCCTCTCTAGCCCCAATCCTCGGTTTCTTAATAACAAATTCCACCAGGGCAGAGGAGTGGAAGCCGCCGGCCTGAGTCTCATTCTGAACGCCCGTCCATTATTACACCTGGGAAGTGAGACTGAGGCTCACGGAGCTGGGCTGGAAAGCCACTGGCCTTTGTTCCCTCTCCCTTCAGGCCCAGTCCCAGGGACCCATCACCCTCAAGATCATCCCTGCCACCCAGGAGGAGGACCGCTTCAAAGAGAGCAAGGTATGGGGTGGGGGGGGGGTAGTCTCCCTGGCGCTTTCTCTGCTGGGGCCAGGGTGGGTGTTCTGCACCTTGCCAGCCTTTGGACACAATTGTCTGAACAGCTTGTGATTCTGGCTCTAGTAACCTGTCTCCAGCCAAGGACTTTAACAGTCCTCCGTGACTCATTGTGCCCTGCTGTTTGGAAGCAGGAATTTACATATCATGCTAACAGAAGGCAAGCTTACTGCAACTCAAGTAGAAAATCTGGGCCATGGAGAGGAGAAGGTGCCCGAGGAACTGGATTCTGGACCAGTGAAGTAGCTGCCATTAGCTTGGTTGTTTGCTGGCCTACCTTTGGCTGCAAAGTCTCTGTGCTGGGTTCTCTGATTCTTACTGTGGAAGCAGAGGCCATCCCACTATGTGTCTTGTGATTCTGGAAGAGTCCGTAGAGCCAGAGCTATCTCAGAAGGCATTCGGAGTGGGCACTGGGTTTTGGAGCGAGACAAAGATGGTTACAGCTTCAGAGAGAAGGTCAGACCAAGGTGTCTCTTAGACAGGGGCTTGGGAGCCCCTGATGGGTCAGCACATTGGGGGCTGGGGTAGCTGAGAGAAAGAGCAGCGTGGTAGGGCTTGAGGGTCAGGTGGAAGGGCCGTTGCTGGGATGTGAGTCCAGCTATGAAGGGCTCAGCACAGCCCTTCCCTAGTTTGGGTGTTCCTGTGAGCTGACCCTGGTGGCCATAAGGGTTTGAAGGCAAACGATTTATTTGATGGGAAGTGACCCCAGGCTGCATGGATGGGTGGGGGAGGGTGGAGAGGAAGGGCAGGCAGTCCTACAGAGCATATGCTACCCAGAAGTCACCACCCACAGGGTGCCTGGTGCTTAATCTGCTTTTGGGATCAGAACATTCATGTTCTTCCCAGCCAAGAGCTGGGGAGGTGTGTACGGCAACTCCTACCAGCAAACCCTGGGGCTTTGTTCTTTGTAGTCCCTGACTGCTAGATTAGAGCTGAGCAAACTCAGAAGCCGCAGGAAGAAGTCCTCAGGCAAAGGGGTGCAGGTGCTAGCCACTGAAGTCAGCCAGCGCTCACTAAAGTGGCAGAGCCCTGGGGACAGCCCCGTCCTGGTGAGAAGCACAAGCGTGGAGACTGGATGAGAACTTACGGGGGGCGGGGGGTCAGTTTGCCCCTTTTACAGTGTGGATTTTGAGGATGTCAGGATGTCAGGATTGGCAGTGGGTGTCTTTCCTTGCCTTGGTGAGGGGTTAAGGGTGTTTCTGTTTGTTCCAGCCACACGTGTGTTTTAGATAGCTCTCTGTGCAGAGCCCCTAGAGGAAAGGGGAGTGGGCAGAGGCCAGAGGCAGGGAGGTGCAGAGCGAGGCTCTTTCGGAGGCCCTGGTAGGAGATTATTAAGAAACACAGAGGAGGGGCTGGAGAGCTGGCCCAGGGGTTAAGAGCACTGGCTGCTCTTCCAGAGGACCCGGGGTTCAATTCTCCACACCCACACGGCAGCTTAAAACTGTAACTCACACCCTCACACAGACATACGTGTAAGCAAACACCAACACAAATGAAATAAAAATAGTTTTTTTTATTATTATTATTATTTTTTTAATCACAGAGGATATCGAGGAGGGTATCAGTTTGACTTTATAGTGAATTTGGCCTTCAAGTTCTTGGGCATAAGGCAAAAAGGGGGACAGAACGAGTTCTGTACTTTCCACCAGGGAGTGGAAGGCTAGGCAACCCCAGCCTTGCCACCGTGTGCCGAATTCAGGAAAAAAGGCACAGGGCGGCCTCTGGCCCAGAAGAGATGTCAGCGCTTTGTTGATGAGAGACAGATGACGAACGGGGACAGCTGCTGTCTTCACTGACCTCTTGTTTTCCAGCCAGCAAAGGAACCACCTTTCCATAGCTGTCTCTTCCTAGCGCCCTTGGATTAAATCCCAGGGAATGAGTGATCTTGACTCCTGTATGGGACCACAGTATCCCATAGGGCTTGATGCAGGAAGAAGGCCTGGTACCACGCCCCTGTAGTGTCTCTCTTTGGGTGAGAGTACCTGCCCCTACCGCAGAGACCCACAAGGTACTTACTGCAGTCTGGCTTAAACTTCTGTTTTTGCCATATGAGGGAATCTGAGATGGGTATGCCTGAAGATGACCATCGATCTTTCTTTCCTTTTTATTTTGCCACGGAAATAACGTACATAGCCTACATAGCCTACAGCTAGAACACTTGCAATAAGTTCATAGCACTGAGTGGCGAGAGAACCAAGAGATGGGAAGCAGTTCTGTTGTCCTGTCCCACCTTCCCCAGAAGGGAGACGTGGCCAGGAATGTGGCAGACAAGGCAAGGTGGAGCTGTGAAAACCGTGGGTGCCAGTTACCCACTTGGGAAGTGAGGGCCAAGTTGGCCACGGCGGTTTTGTTGCTGTCTGGGCCCCTTCCTCTGAGGACCTCTAGGGTCCTGTATAGATGGTGTCCTGAGTTCATCAGGAGCAGTTGTAGTTAAAAAGATAAATAAGTAAATAAAAAGGGCAGAGCAGGTCTACAGGGAAATGCTTTGGTTGGAAGGACAATGTCAGATGAGGAGCTTATGTACACATTTTCTGTTTTGTTTTGTTGTTTTAACACTTTCATCTTAAGTGTGTGTGTGTGTGTGTGTGTGTGTGTGTGTGTAACAAGGAGGCCAGAGGGCAACTTTCGGGGATTAGTTTTTCTCCGAATGGAATTATGGGTAGAATTCAGGTTCTCAGGCTTGCATAGACTGCCCTATTGCCCACTGGCCCCTGTCTGATGACTCTGTTTGTTCGGTTTCGGTGTTGGTGCTGGGGATGGAATCAGGGTCTTGTACATGCTAGACGGGCACGCTGTACCGCCGAGCCGTGCCCCGGCCACTCATTGTCCCATTACCTATGGGATTCCTGACTCAGGTATCCCAAATGGACCAAGAACACTAAGAAACAAATGCAGGGTGTTGCTTGCTCGCTTTCTACCCTCGGGGCCACTTGGGTTTTCTCACTGTGGGTGGCCACTGTCATTACGAGGCCTGTGCCCTTGTCTTGAAGGGGCCCCTCACTGCAGTCCTTGCCATCCAGGTGTTCATGCGTGCCCTCTTCCACTATGACCCTCGGGAGGACCGTGCCATCCCCTGCCAGGAGGCAGGCCTGCCCTTCCAGCGGCGGCAGGTCCTGGAGGTGGTGAGCCAAGGCGACCCCACCTGGTGGCAGGCCAAGAGAGTGGGAGACACCAACCTTCGAGCTGGCCTCATCCCCTCCAAGCAGTTCCAGGAGAGGTAGGATTGGGGTGCTACTGTATTTGGGGTGGCTGATGGTCCAGGTACATGGAAACCCCTTGAGTCTGCCACCTCAGTGGTGGGGAGGCCACTGCGGTGGGGGTGATTCTGGCCCCATTGCCAGTGAAGGTGGCCATTTGAGATTTAAATAAATATATGGACATTTACTTTTCTTTTTACCTAACTCTAAATCTAGGACCCGGTTAGGTAGGCACTCTACCCCTGAGCTCCAGTCCCAAGCCCTGCTGTTTGACTCTTTTGAGACAGGGGTCTCGCTAAGTTGTGCCCAGGCTGGCCTTGAATTCATTTCACAGCCCAGGCTAGCCTTGACTTGCAATCCTTCTGCTTCGGCCTCCCCACAGGGCTCCCATCAGACCTAGCTGGACATTTGAACTAAGTTAATGTATACAGTTGTCCCTTGGTAGATTCTGGGGTTGCTCCTAAAACCTTCTGGATACCAAAGTCTGTAGATGCTTAAGAACCTTACATAGAATGATGTTGCATTTGCATGTAATGCCTCTGTCCCCCAATCTCTTCTCTGGGTGATTTACCAGGCAACATTGTAGCAGTTTGGCTGCATAGGCTCATATATTTGAAGGCTTGGTCCTCAGTTGGTGGAACTATCTGGGAAGGATTAGAAGGTGTGGCCTTGGAGAGGAGGTGTGTCACCGGGGGTGTGCTGTGAGGTTTCAAAAGCCAACACGGGACCTGGTTAGCTTTCTCTGCCTTGTGCTTGTGGATTGAGATGTAAGCCCTCAGGACTGCGCCAACACCATGCCAGCCTGCCCGTCACCATACTCCTCACCATGATGGTCACAGATAGACTCTAACCCCCTGGAAGTGTGAGCCCCAAGTTAAACACTTTCTTTTATAAGTTGCCTGGGCCATGGCATCTCAGCACAGCGATAAGAAAGTGACTAAGATCAGTGTGAGTGCTGTGTGAGAGTTTGGCACACCCTGGATTGTGTAGGGGGTGATGAGAAGAGAGTCAGGGCGCAGTCAGGATAGACACGGGGGTTTTTCCCGAAAAATATTTTCAAGCTGCAGTTGGCCAGCTCTGCAGATGCAGAGCTCATGAACGCAGGACCAGCGATACTTATAATATGAAAGAACAGGAAGCAGATTGCTAAGCATGCAGAAGAAGGGGGCAAGGAAGAGAAAATTGCCCAGAGTCTTGCCTGTGTCCAAAGAGCACAGTTTATTATTTCCCACCTGTGCTTCCTGTGTGTGTGGGGGGGGGGGCGGCGTTGCACACGGAATTTCTTTTTTTAAACTTCAGAATTTGACATTAGCGTTTCCCAATTTTATATATTCCTCCGATGTGAGCTTAATGGTTGTGTACTATTTCATTAGGAATGGACGCTTGATCATCAGCTGTTGGTGTCTATTAGGGTTGTTTTGGATTGTGTTACATGTCTTTTAAAAGTTATTCATTTAATGTGTATGTGTGTGTGTGTGTGTGTGTGTGTGTGTGTGTGTGTGTGCCCGGATATACGTTATGAGCACCATGTGCATGAGGGTGTTGGGTCTCCTGGAACTGGAGTTACAGGTGGTTGTGAGCTTCCATGTGGCTGCTGAGAAGCGAACTTGGGTCCTCTGCAAGAGCAGCAAGTGCCCATAAGCACTGGGTCATCTCTCCAGCCCCTGGGCCATCTTCATTCATTTATTATCATTGATGCTGTTATTGCTATTGTTGTTGTTATTTAGTAGTAGTAGCAGTATTGTTTTGAGGCTGGATCTTGCTCTGTAGTCCAGGCTGACCTCGAACTCATGGCAATCCTTCTGTCTCAGGCTCTCGAGGGCTGGGATTTCAGGTGCGTGCTAGCATGCTTGGCACTTGCGGCAGGCATCTTATCCCTGCTGTGAACCGTTGCTCTACCCTGAAGTAGCTCACAGTGCAGAGGAAAAACCAGGCCTTCTTCCAACAGACGCTTTGTGTAAAGTCGGCTGGTGCGAGGGATGTTTTCTTTGTGACCATGCACCCTGCTGCAGGCATGCGGGGAAGGCTTCATGGAGGCACAGTCATGCCTGAGTTCTTCCCTGTGGCTGCCCCGTCCGGTGGACTCCAGTTTTTCTCTGTTACTGGTTGCTGTAGCGATCGTGCACATGGAAGGGTCTGCATAGTTCATATTCTCTTAGGCTAGATTGACAAGAGGGTAAATTCCGGGGCGTTGTGGGGGGTAGATAGGACTGTGCCATCTCCCCTGTGGGTTGAGGTCCTTGTCACATCCCTCAGTGTACAGGATGTAACGGTGGCAGACCTCAGGGCCCGCCCACTTCAGCGTGGACGCTAGACCGAGCTGTCTGCCTTAGGAAATCCTTAGGCTTCACCCTGAACGCACTGAAGCGGAAACTCAGGTCACTCCTCACAGGTACCCCAGGGGGGTCCAGGGTCTTAGGATTGCTGCTGTTTCCTCAGGGACCCCCAGCCCGGCCTGGCTTCATATTGGAATATTGGATGTGCATGTGTGGAGGTCAGGGTTAACTCCATGTCTTTCTGATTGCTCTCCACTTATGTTTTTTTTTTTTTTTTTAAGACATGCTCTCTCACTGAACCTATCTCACTGATTTGGCTAGTCTTGATGGCCAGCGAGCCTCAGGGATTTCCCCGTCCCTGCCTCCCGAGAGCTGGCATTACAGGTGTGCGTCACAGCGTCCAGCAGTTGTTTTATTATTGTTGTTGTTGGGTAGGTTTTTTTTTTTTTTTTAATTGTAGGTGCTGAGGCTCGAACTCAGTTCCCTGAGCTTGCATGGCAGCCACTTTACCAGCCAGGCTATCCCTCTAGGCTCTTGCCTGCATTGGAAATGTGGAATCTGGATGCTGCAAAAGCTGTGGGGTGATGGTTGAAAGAGGGAGGCCTGTGTGACTGGCTGTCTGGCAGCCATATTGGACGCTGGGGAAAGGTACTCTCTACAGTAATGGCGGAGGGTAGTACCTCAGGGTCTGACCCATAGCCCTTCCTGAGAGTCCTGAGATGGGGAGGCCGAGTAGTGGTGGAGAAGAACCACCCTGCCTCAGGAGTCAGCCACAGTAGCGTAACCAGCAATGGTGACTTGGGACACCAGCCAGCTCCCGTGGCCGTCTTGGGAAGGACAGCCCTTTGCAGGCCAGGAGAGTCTGGTTTTTCCTCCCTGTAAGCTGGTCGGCTCTGTGAGAGTGTCCCCCTTCCCTCCCCAGAGCTCACCGTGAAGCAGGAGGTCCCGGGAGTGCCGAGGTGTGCTCAGCCGTGAGATGCAGCCCTTGGTTTGCCCAGGTTTCTAGAAGGCTCCTTCAGCTGCCTCTCTGACCCAGCTGCTCATGTCCATTTGTGTCCCTGCAGGCGGCTGAGCTACCGGAGAACCACCGGCACCTTACCAAGCCCCCAGAACTCCAGAAAGCCCCCCTGGGAGGAGACTGACAGGGGGGGAAAGGGGGGGGGGGGGGGGGGCAGAAGCTGTCACTGAATTGGAGGGAGGGGCATTGGAGGCCCTGTTTGAGCCTGCAGACCTCCAGAAGGAGAAGGTGGGAAGAAGCATGGGGAGGGGAGATGGAGGGCAGCTCCTGGAGAGGAACTTTTATTCTGTGGTCCGTGGAGGCCCGTGGGGGCATGTTAACGCAGACCCAGGCTGGTGTGCGACCTGTGTTTGGAAGAGGGTGCCCAGCTCTCAGTAACCTCCCAAGGAGCACTTTGAACTTGAATATTGTAGATAATATTTTGCCTCAGGGTCACTCCAGTGCAGGTACCCTCCCCCAAACCCTGCGCCACGGATTGGACAACCCTCTGTGGTCCAGGAAAGTTCTGTCCAGCATCACCTAGGGAAGCCAAGAGGTCAGACACTCTTGCTAAGTCTCCTTGTACCTCTGTGACAGCATTGGGAGGTTCAGACTGGGAGAATGCTCTTCAGATTGGAGTTTGAGACACGAATTGCTTTCTAGTGCCTTCCGTGTAATGCGAGAGGCGTGCTAAGAAATTCTCTGTTCTTAAGCAGATTCAGCGGATGCCGATACTCTTCTCTGTACAGCACCTACCCCTAAAATCAGGCTTGCCTACCGCCTTGCCTGCTATTTGAATGTTTTAAAAGTATTGTTCGGCAGTGCCAGGACCAATCCCAGGGCCTCATACGCACAGGGCAGGTGTTCTATTGCTGAGACGTAGAAGGTGCTCTGTTCACTATAGCCCCGTGAAGAGGCTGGTGAGGTTCAGTGTTGGGTTGGACGGAGACAAGGCAGGTCTCCGTCCTTCTCAGGGAGGGGCTGTCCCAGAATCCACCCTCTGTTAGTGATGGCTCATAACTGAGTGACGGGCCTGTTCAGGCACCTGCATTTTCCAAGCAGGTCTTAAGCCCCAGAAAATGGGGAACAGTTCCTTTCCCCAGAAGGAGTCACTCTACCCGTCAGCCAGCCATCGGCAATGGCCATGTTTCCAGGCTTGTTCGGGTGAGGAGGCTGCTGAGTAAGTCAGCCGGGAGGCCACTTTTACTGGCCACGCGCTAGCTCCCTCTGGCTGCTTGTGAGCCGCACACAAGAAGCCTAATTAGAGCAGGGCTCGGGGCTGAGGAGCGCACCACCGCTCAGATCATAGTCGTGTTGGAGCAGGGGAGCAGGACAGATGGAGACCTCCCCGGGCTGCAGGGGCTTGTGGCCGCCTCTCGGCTGCAGGGCTTCCTAGTTCCCTGCACTAACGCTGTCCCATCTGTCTTTTATGCAAACTGCAGATGATCAGCCTTGTGACAAAGGTAGGCCTGACGTTTGTCCCCCGTGCACATGAGTGAGGCCCCTCTTTCCATGGAGCATCTTGGGGCCGAGGGGGCTGGTTTTCCTCCCCACACCTGGGCACCCATGCCCAGATGTGTGGGGTGGGGCCTTAAGGCCCCTCCCTGTGTGTCTGGCATTAAAGGATGATGCTGTGATACCCAGTGCTAGGTAGGAGTCGAAAAACATGAAGGCAGGGCCGAGGGGTAAGGCCTTCCACCTTCCATTTCTGTGTCCCATCTGGAACTCAGAAAGACTGGGAGGGGGCTTCCCGGCCCAGAATCCCCACCGAGGGCTGGAAGAGTTAATGGGGCCTGTGCATGGAGAACAGAACAAAACGGACGACCAGGTCCTGGGGCAGCCAAGAGATAGAATTCTCTAGAGCTCCCCAGGATCACCATCCCAGGGGGCTCTGCCTGGCTACCCAGGGGCTGGGGCCCTGAGGGCTGGAAGTGAGTCTTACGTAGCTCACTCCGCTCCCCACCTCTCTCTTTGCTTTCCAGAGACCTGTGATTGTGAAGGGTACTTCAAAGGACACTATGTGGGTGAGTAGCAGGCCCTCCCCTGGCATCGTTCCCAGCCCATGCACAGGCCCAGGGCCCAGAACCCGAGATCTAAGCCCCAGGATCCTGTCAAGGGTTGCTGAGCAGGAGTCCCTCTTCTCCTTGCAAGCAGTCAGCCAGCAGAAGGCAGCGCCCACTCAGACCCAGGCCCCGCCCAGCCGCAGAGCTGGAGAGAGATACTGAGCCCTGTGTTGACACTCATTTTATCTTCATCATCTTAATCGGAGTTTATTCAGGGTGAACCTCACCAGCACACGGTGATGGGATTTCTGTTTTACCCGAGCTTCCCCCTCGAAGGTTACAAAAGACAGGCAGATGTCTCTCAGTGTTTATTTAGATGTGATTATAAACTCACAGAATTAGGCTGAGAACTCCCGGGCACTCCACGCCAGACTTGGGGTCACCTCACTGTAACTGCTTCCTCATTTCCTTTTCTGCTGCCTGTCACCTGAGAGTTAATGAACACATCCTGTTCCTTTATCCCCAAGTCTGTATTTCCTAAAGACAAGGACATCCTGTGACAAGACTTCAGGATAGCGATCAAATCCTGGATATTTCCTTTTGCATACAATCCTATTGTCTTATATGTGGCTATTAAAACGTCAATAATGTCCTTCAGAGCATTCCCCCTGGCCTGGGATCCAGTCTAGACCCATCCCCTTGTATGTCTGAGCTTCTAATTACAGATACGCAATTTGAGGCTTAGAGAGATGGAGAGACTTAACCCAAGGTCAGTCACATGCCAAGGAAATCAGTGACCTTGAACGCCCTTCTTTGGATGTGGGGACCATTCTTTCTTCTCGTCAGCATGCTCCCTGCGCTGGCCATCCAGGGCAGGAGGCTGGACAGCCAGGCACCCGGCCTTAGCTCTATGCCTGGCTAACTGGAGATGGTCTTCACTGGGGGATCGCAGGAGCAAGGCCACCTTTTTCTCTTGTCCCTCCCCAAGCTGGTCTTCGGAGAAGCTTCCGGCTGGGCTGCAGGGAGAGGCTGGGTGGTTCGCAGGAAGCAAAGGTGCCCTCGGGGGCTGACTCTCAGGTACTGCTGACCTACGAGGAGGTGGCCAGGTACCAACACCAGCCAGGGGATCGGCCACGCCTGGTGGTTCTCATTGGTAGGTGACATCCTGAGTTTCCTAGTGGCTGCTGTCCTCAGGAGACGTAGAGATGGAGCTCAGGAGAGGCTGAGTCAATCTTCCCTTTGTTCCAGGGTCTCTGGGAGCAAAACTCCATGAGCTGAAGCAAAGGGTGGTGGCCGAGGACCCCCAGCATTTTGGTGTTGCTGTGCCACGTAAGAAGGCTTTCGTGTGCGTGTGTGTTTGTGTGTGTGTGTGCCCCCACCCTTGTGCGTGTGTGTGCTGAGTGTTTTTCTGGGACTAGATTCTTCATGCTCATCTTGACCTTTTTTGGTGCTCCGGGTATGTGAGAGTCCTCCAGACATTGCTATATGCATATGGTGGGACCTAGGGATGATGGGAAGAGACTCTTCTCAGTGGCTTACTGAGACCCTCGGAAACGGCTAGCTCACCATCTGCCTGGTGTGTGGCTGGGGAGGGAGGTGAGTCGAAAGCACACTGCAGGCTGGAGAAGAGCATGATGGTCACGGAAGCCACAGAGCTGGTGAGGGGAGGTATTCCTGTTAGCTGGATGCCAGCCTGGATAGGTGGCTGGGTACTTTCCTGGGTATCGTCACCATGCGTGCACACTCGAGCACAGGCACACACACACACACACACACCTTAAAGCAGGGTCAAATAAATGCCCTGCTTTCGCTCTCAGATGAGGACATGGAAGCTAAAAGCTTGAAGCAGGGATCTCTCAGAGATTATTCCAAAGCCCCAGCATCAAGAAGGCAGAGCAGTGGGAGGCCTGTGGTTGGCACAGAACCTAGAGATGGTCTCTGGCTCTGACTGGCTGGAGTTTGGGGCATGGTACTGTCTCCAGGCTTTGGGTTCCCCAGACACCAAATAATATCCTTTGGGGTGTGGAGCTGAGGCTCAGCTCGTTAGAGAGCTTGCCTCGCATGCTTGAAGCCCTGGGTTCAGTCCGCCACACCAAGTGTGATGGTGCGAACCCTTGACCACAGTACTTGGGTGTTGGAGGGTGGAGGAACAGAAGTTTAAGTTCGTCCTCAGCTACGTAGTGAGACCAGGCTCCATGAGATCCTGTCTTTAAAAGGTGGTGGAGGCAAGGAGACCAACAGAGCCAAAAAATTATGGGCCCAGGGGTCCTTGCAGAGACTGATGAATCAACCAAGAACCATATATTGAGAGGACCCCCTGCTCAGATTAGCACATGGACAACTCAGTCTCCATGGGGGTTCCCTAGTAAGGGGAACAGGGGCAGTCACTGGCATGAATTTGGTTGCCTGCTCTTTGATCAGCTTCCCCAGGTGTGAGCTGGCTTTACACAGAGGAAGATGAAGCAGTCAGTCCTGATGAGATCTGATAGTCTAGGGTCAGACGGTAGGGGAGGAGGACCTCCCTTATCAGTGGACTAAGGGAGGGACATAGTGGGGGGAAAGATGGAGGGAGGGTGGGAGTGGGAGGAGATGAGGGAGGGCCCTGTAGCCGGATTACAAAGTGAATAAATTGTAATTAATAGTAATAATGATGATGATGATGATGATGAAAAAAGATAATTCTAAAAATCATGAAAAAAGCTTTTAAAAAAAGTGGTGGAGGGGCTTCTTTTGCTCATATCCAAGAGTTTCGAGGTTTGGGGACACGTGAGGAACGGGAAGTGCCGATTTGCGCACATATCAGTCATGAGCTCTGGGGCAAGAGCACAGGCTTGCGGTCGGTTCTTCTTGGCCCAACAGTCCTTCTTTCTTTAAAAGACACCACCAGGCCCCGGAAGAGCCACGAGAAAGAAGGGGTGGAGTATCACTTTGTCTCCAAGCAAGCGTTCGAGGCTGACTTACAGCACAACAGGTGCATGGCTTCGTGGGCCAGTGGGCCTCCTGGTAGCCGCGTGTCTCTGTGACCGTCCGGTGGTGTATCAGTTCCTGTGTCAATACCTGACCCCGAGGAGGGCTTCTGGAAATGTTCGGGGAAGCAGGAAGTGGGAGAGAGGTGGTACCCGGAAGAAGTCCACTTTTCTGGGTTTTGTGAAGTTGGGGTTTCTCAGAAACTGAAGCCTTCTCGTTGGTGGTGTTTTAGGTTCCTGGAACATGGTGAATATAAGGAGAATCTCTATGGGACCAGCCTGGAGGCCATTCAGGCTGTTCTGGCCAAAAACAAAGTTTGTTTGGTGGATGTAGAACCAGAAGTGAGTTCCTGGGTCATCTGGGACTTGGGTGTCTGTGAAACCTAAGGCGGTGGGGGTGGGGCAGGAGGGGTGGGGAGGCTAGCTGTTCTGTAGATCAGTCTAAGGAAGTTTTAGGTCAGAACATGCTTGGCCCTCTCCTTGAGAACTGGATGAGCTGGGCAGTGGTGGTGCACACCTTTAACCCCGGCGCCCTGGCAGGCGGATCTCCATGAGTTCGAGGCCAGCCTGCTCTACAAAGCCAGTCCAGTACAGCCAAGGCTACACAGAGAAACCCTGTCTTGAAAAAAACAAAAACAAGAACAAAAAAAGGAGCCCAAACATGCCCTGCTGTTCTCAAGCACGGGATTCATTTGAAGGAGCCCAGGCACTGTCAGAGAATCCAGACATCCGGGACAGTAACCCCTGCAGATCATACACTAGAGCAGCAGGCCATGGCAGCACATGCCTATAGTCCCAGAGCTGGGGAAAAAAAGGGTGGGGCAGGTAACAGAGACGGCTTAGCGGTCAGACTGCTTGCTGGTCTTCCAGAGGACCCGAGTTCAGTTCCCAGGACCCATGTTAAGTGGCTCACAACAGCCTGCAACTCCAGTTCTAGGGGGGATCCGACGCCCTCTTCTGGGCTTTGTAGGTACTGCACTCTTGTGCACACCCACTCACACTGAGGGACACATATATACATACATACAATTTTTTTTAAAAAAGTTCCTGGCTCTACCTGGCCGGTTGTGACAGGACAGAAAACTATTGGTATGTATAGCCAGGCCAGGCTGTCACTGCTCTCTTTCCCTGCCAGTCTCCTGCCTCTAAAACTGGAACAAGTTAGGGGTAGGTAATGTCTACTTAATTTGGGGTACTTATGCTTCTACCTCCTTTCCACCAACTCCCCCCCCAACCCTAGCTGGGAGAGAGAAGGTTAGTGGGGAGAGGGGCCGCAGACCCCTTTACTTCTCCCGGCTGTTTAGGAGCCATGGGTCTTTGGGAGATATACCAACCTCTATCAACAGCATACAGCAGACAGCCTCCGCCCACTGTTTCTCTTTGTATGCCCCCAACTGCTACCCGGCCCTTCTCTGGTCTCTCCAAACTGCCCCACGCCAACACCGCACACCACACTTCGTCTTTCTGGACGCTCGGTATTTATATCCTCAGAGCCCTAGACCACGTCCCTCTTCGTGCCACATGAGGAAGGCTGTTAGCAGCTGGCAAACAGTTAACCGCTGTGGACAAACTAAAACCCAACTAAAATCCCACACTTGGGATTAAAACAAAGACATATTTACATAACGTAGCTGAGGTTACCAAGAAGCCAAAACTTCCATTACAGGGAGGCCCAGAGGGAGGCCGCAGACCAGCATCTTGAGACAGATGGCTTTGCAGGGAAGAGTTGGGGAACAGCTTCAAAGCCGGTACTAGTTCCCCACCACTGGCCTTCTGCCGGCTCTACAGGCGTCTGCCCACCTGCTTAACCTTATCTTTCAGAAAATTTCCCATACTTTGAACTCTACATCGGGATTTTTCCCCCCTACTACAGGAGCAGAGTTTTGATACTATGGTACAAACTGTGAGCTTTATTTTACCCGAGTTGGCTGGAAACCTATTTCCAAAAGCATGTTTGGCCTGGAAGGGAACACCTTACTTATTTGGACACACTGAGAGTTGGTAGTTGAAAGTCAGAGAGGCTGGAGAGATGGCACGGCAGCCAAGAGCACACGCCGCTCTTACAGCACACGCCGCTCTTACAGAAAGGCAGGGCTCAGTTGCCAGTTTCCGCTCCTGGTGGCTCACAGCTGCCTGTAACTCCAGCTCCAGGGAATCCACAAACCATTGCCACTGAGGACGGAAGCCTGGCGTACTGCGCTTTCAGAATGTATGTGCTGTGATAACGTGTTGCAAAAGGCGTGTAATTCTCTGAAACATTTTTTTTTAGGCACTAAGACATCTGAGGACCCCCGAGTTTAAGCCCTATGTTATATTTGTGAAGCCTGCAATCCAGGAGAAAAGGAAGACGCTGCAAGCTTCCCCGGACTCCGAGGACACAGCAACCCCACTTGTAAGTTTAGGAGTTGCTCGTCCCTCCTTTGAAGGAGCTGCACCTAGCTGACCACGGGCTATCCGAGGAAGAGGGACAGAGGCCATAGCTTCTGCATAAGGACATCTTTCCCTTTTACAAGGTCACAGGGGGATGGGGACCAGGCCTTCCAATCCAGGCAGGGTAGCTTTGCCTGGACTCACCACCTTATATAACCTCATGTTAACATCCTCCATAAAAGGGAAGTGGTGGCTGTCATGGGCCCAGTGTGTGGGGGACAGACCACACCAGGCTGTTGAATTTCTTGGTTCAAACCCAAGTGTTTCGTGTGTGTGTGTGTGTGTGTGTGTGTGTGTGTGTGTGTGTGTGTGTGTTTAGGCCTGAGTTTGATGGTTGATGTCATGGTTTCCTCTATCTATTCTCCACCTTATTTTGAGGCAGGGTCTCTCACCGAAACAGCAGCTTGCCATATTGGCTAGACTGGCTGGCTAGCAAGCCCCTGGAAATCACCTTTTTCTGCCCCCATGCTAGGGTTATAGACGCACACCCGCCCAGCTTATGCGTGGGTGCTGAACTTGGGTTCTTGTTCTTGCAGACACTTTGCCTAACGAGGCGTCTTTTCAGCCCTACCCACACCCCACCCTTTACTTTTGTGATGTTAAGGCCTCACTGCTAATCGATACATCTCCCCCGTTTATTTTTGGAGACAGGGTTCTTGCTTTGGAGCCCAGGCTGGCCTGTAAACTCATGATCCTCCTGCCTCAGCCTCCCAAGTGCTGGGATTACCGGTACACACCACAACATCCAGCTTCATATATAACCGGGTACACGGAAACCCTGGCTCTCAGTTCAGAGGTCCCCAGGGGATATTTTGTGAGTGTCTGCTGTCCAGTGGTTTCCTTCCATGTGGCAGCTGCTACTGCACTCTGCCCTTGTCCTCACAGTTACCCACAGGACACAGGCATCCACCCGGCACGTTAAAGGTGGGGCCTGTCAGGGGAGCATCGCCTCGTCACACACACACTGCGTCTCTCTTGGCAGGATGAACAGCAGCAAGAGATGGCCGCCTCTGCCGCCTTCATCGATCAGCGCTTTGGGCACCTCATAGACACTGTGCTGGTGAGAGAGGACCTGCAGAGTGTCTGCAGCCAGCTCAGAGCTGTCCTAGAGGCGCTGAGCAAGGACACGTACTGGGTACCCATCAGCTGGGTGAGGTAACTTCACCCCCATAGCATCCAGTCCGGAGGGACCTCAAAGATCGTAGAGTCCAGCCTCCCTCAGGTACCGTCGAGGAACCCCAAGTGCAGAGAGGAGCCAGGTTTCCCACAGACCGTCGTCAGTTCCCGAGCGTTAGTGGGAAGCCTCGCTTGCCGTTGGCGTTTCTTTGGTCTGTCATTTGACTGCACCCCTTCCTTCGAGAGCCGGAGTTGAAAGGGGCAAGTCACAGAACACCGTGTCATTCATTCAAGTCTCGAGGGCAAGTTGGCCTTGATTCTTTGTACCAAAGCTACATAGCCACTGTCTTTTGGGGGTAGTGGTGGTGGATTTATATGGTGATTTACAGCGATGTTTCAGCTTTATTCGATAGGACACTTCGCCGGTCCATTTTTGTTGGAAGTTGTTTTACACAGTGGATCTTCTGTGCAACTGACAACCGTCTGTCTTGCAGCACTGAAATGTTACCTTTGGGGCGTGGGGGTCGTGCTTGCCTGGTGGTAGAGAAATTGGTTCCCTGCCTTTGCACAGAGTGTGCATACGTGATGTTTTTTTTTCCTGCAAGACAGAGTCAACACGTAACGGCTCACGTGGCTCACTAGGCTCTTCAACAATGCAGCAGTGCCTTCGGGGACCCTTGAGGAATGTCAGGCTGCCTGTCCCCTTTCTGAATCCTCTCCCCACCCCCACCCCCCATGCTCCTCAAATCGAGTCCTTGATGTGTTTGATTTGTCCTAGTCTATCAGCTGTCCCCCGTTATTGCCTTGGTTCTAAACGGTCTCTATTTTCAGACCGGGCCTCCTGTTGTGCTGGGTTGTGGGGAATAAGATGACTCCCATCTGTCAAAGCTCTGTCTAAGCCACAATAAATCAGTCCTGTCAAAAGTATATAGACTCAAAGTGTGGGTTGTCATGTGGTCTCTTAAGAAGTGATTTGCCCAGGGACTATGACAGGTCCTCGCTGCTCAGAGAATTCTGCCTCTGATGAGTCACCAGTGTATGTGATTTTTTTTTCTTCTCTGTGCTGGCTGTGATGTTGAGGCGTCTTTGTGTGTTATCTTTGTAAATACACCAGGCCGACGAGACAGAGCAATATTAGTCCCATTTTACAATTGCAGGGAAAAAATGAGACTTAGAAACCTTAGATCGTGTTTTCAGGATTATACAGATGAAAAACAGCACAAGGCTGAGGTGTGTCCGTAGGTGAAAGTGCTTGACATGCAAGCCTGAAGACTTGGGTTCAAACCCCCAGAGCCCGCATAAAAGCCCCATCTGTACTGTGTTCATAAATCCCAGTACTTCAGTCAGGAGATGGGAAATGGAGACGGGAGAACCCCTGGAAACCTTCGAACTGGCTAGTTTGCGCGGACACACGGATGTACACACATAGGTTGCGCACTTACACGCATATCTGCACGTGCGTAATGGTACGTCTGTGTGTATTTGAGCCTCAGTCTTTCCCACATGAGATATGACCCTTAACCACTGTGCTGTACTGCCTCATGTTTTCATGGTTCTATGATGGAGGCTCCCTAATGAAATGACTTGTGAGGAGTATATTCATAGGATACTGTGCAGTGTGCTTGCAACTTCTGGGACTAAAAAAGATGGCACTTTATAAATGTGCAAGATACTTTATCCCTGACACAGGCTAGGCTGACCGGGAAGCACCAGGAAGGCCGTTTGCTATTCATCTACGAAATCCCGGCTAAATTTTTCTTTCCTTTTTCTTTTGTTTTTTTGAGACAGGGTTTCTCTGTGTAGCCTTTTGGCTGTCCTGGACTTGCTTTGTAGTCCAGGCTGGGCTCAATCTCACAGAGATCCACCTATCTCTGCCTCTGCCTCCCCCAGTGCTGGGATCCTGTCTTGAAAAACAAAAAACAAACAAACAAAAAGGCATGCCATACTAAAGGGTCATTTCCTGCTCACTCCATCTTTTTAGCCAGTCACCAGATGAGGCGGTGGTAATTCAGTGTGGATTATAGGCAATGAAAATGGGCTAGGCCTGTTTGCAATGAAAGGGCCTTCCCTTCTCCCAGGACAAGTTCTGTTCTGCTGTGAGGCTGGGGCTCCCGGGGCGAGTGTCATCTGAAGGTGTGTTTGTGCTGTTTATGCAAAGCAGAGAATGTTGTTACAGGAAATGTACCTGTTTGCAAATATGTATCGGTGTGTAAATGCCAATCCAGTCTGTGCCTGTTCCGAGTGTGAGCTCTAGAGGACTTTTCAAAGTCAGGACTGTTAACTGCCGCTGCCCGTCCTGCCCCTCCCCCACCTTCCCGTGCACTCAGCCATTATAGCTCTCTCCTGCCTTTGGCTCTTGCAACATGGTTTTCAGCATCCATGCATGTCGTCCTAACCCAGTGGTTAGCGACCTTCCCTGCCTCCCGCCCATCTTGCAAGAGAGAGATTTGAGGTTTTAAGCACCTGCCAATCAGAACTCAGATGTGTTTAACCTCAGCCTATAGTGCTTTTGCTATTCTCTGTAGATCCCTAGTGCTTTTCAGGATGCGCACAGTTAAATTGGGCATGTAATCAAGTGTGGAACTGGCCATCTATGCCACCAGGGGCAGGCATCCAAGCAGTGATGGATTTTTTTTTTTATGGTTTGCTTTTTATGCCTCTAAGATTTTTTTTTTTTTTTCCAGTTGTGTAGCTTGGTCTTCTTGTGGGACTCCTAACAGTGGGAGCAGAGGTTGTCTCTGACCCTCCTGCCAGCTTTTGGGACCCTTGTGCTCATACTGGGTTGCCTCATCCAGCCTTAATATAAGAGGAGGGGCCTAGTTTTACTGCAACTTGATATGCCATGTTTGATTGGGAAGCCTGCCCATTTGAGGAACGGAGGAGGAGTGGGTAGGGGACGGGCAGAAGGGAGGGGGGAACTGGAGTAGGGATGTAAAATAATAATAGATTATTTTTGTTTTGCGTGTGGGTGTTTTGCCTGCACGTGTCTGTGCACCGTGTGGGTTCTGAGAATCAAATCTGGGTTTCTCGAAGAGCAGCCAGTGTTCCTAACCACTGAGTTATCCTGCCAGCCCCTGGTGTAACCTAGGCTGGCCTCACCCAAACTGTCCTTGGTCCTCCTGCCTCTGCCTCCCAGGCACTGGAAGGACAGGCTTAACAGTGATCGCTCTTCATACACTTACTAGTTACAAACTTCAGCGTACGTATAAAGTCCATCAGACAGTGGATCAGACAGTTAAGAACCAGTCAGCTGCGTGCCTGTGTGTGTGTGTGTGTGTGTGTGTGTGTGTGTATTGATACACTTACTACTCTATTTCCCTGCCCATTGAATGCATTCTCTAATCATCGCTTCCTTTAGAGTTAGACCAGTGGGTTCAGAACAAGGTGGTGTGGAGTCATTTTTATTTTTATTTTCTCTTCCTTCTCTACAGTTAAACACTTTGCACACAGTTAAACACTTTGCATAAAGGGAGACTGAGAGCTGCAGAAGCTGACAAGGAGCGGACTCAGAGTCTCTGGCAATCTGGTGGGTCCCCTGCACTTTCCCTGTGTCTCTCACATAGCCTACAAGCCTGGGCTTTGAAGAGGTCCACCCAATGACTCAGAAACCCCCAAGCCAAGCTGTGTCTGCTTGCTCCTCAGCAGAAGGTGGCATAGTGACACCACATAGCCCAAAAGTGCCCTTCCCAACCCATGGGAAGACATCTGTGGGGCCTGAGCAAGAGCCCCACAGCCCTGGAGAAGGAAGCAAACAGAACAGCATTGCAAAGCTGTTGCCTCAGAATTTAAACTCGCAAAAGAAGGCAAGAGCCTCTGCACTGTGTCTCCTCGGGACTATTACCAAGACGGAAGGTTGGAACTGGATCCTGAGTTACCCAGCACGACAGTCCAGATACTTAAAACGCAGCTGCCTCGACCAGTCATAACCCCAAACCAGGAAAGCCACATCGTAATGAGGGGAGACAGTCAACTCGCAGTTATGACAACATGATGCAGACACTGATGTCAGTAATTAGTTCCCACGAATCAAAAGAAAAAAAACTAGGAAATCTGAGCGATGACGTAGACCTGAAAGAGACCTGAGTGAAAGTTACAGAAGTAGGGATGTGAGCTGGCCCAGTGGTTATTAGAGTCGGTTTGCTCCAGAAACAGGGAAGGCTGTTCAGAGAAAAGCTGACTCCAGGAAGATGTCCCCTGACTTTCACTACATGCCCCCAAATTGTTTACAGACACACAGATACATGGACACACACACATGCACACACACTCACAAACACACACTCATAATTTTTTTTAAGTTCTGGAAGAAAAAAAAAAAAAAACAAAGCAAAGCAAAACTTAAAACTTGGACAAACTCAAAACTCTCCTGGAGAGGATAGAAGGTCGTGTCCAGGATGTAGCTCAGTTGGGGGTGTGCCTGCCTGGCATGTGTGAAGTCTGGGGTGGATCTCTGCACCATATTAGCTGGCTGGGTGCGGTGGCTCAGACCTTTAGTCCCACAACTTGTGAGATGGAAATAGGATGAGGAAATCAAAGCCATTGACTACACAGAAAATCCAAGGACAGCCTGAGTTACATGGGAGCCCGGAAGAAGATGATGAGAAGAGGAAGGGAGGGGTAAGAATGTTGACATTATTTATAGTATCAGTCCTGGCAGGGGTGGGCAAAGCTCAAGACAATAATAGAGAAATAATGGCTGACACCCCTCACCCCAAAACTGGAGAAAGACAGCCTAGAGGTCAAGCAGTGGATCGAATTTCAAGTTTGATAGCCAGAAACCCTTATACACATCCTCTTTAATCTCCTAGAAACTGGAGATTAAGAGGGAAAAACGCCAACCTTAAAAACAGAAAAGAAAAAAAAAAAAAAAAAAAAAAAAAGCCAGGAAGGAAAGTAATTCAAGTTCTATTTTTGCATTTGAAGAAGTGGCAGGCACGTCAAAAACTGAGGACAAAGAACTATTCATGTTGAGGCCGCATTTGTTCGGTGAGATTGTATTAGTCATGAGGGGATCAACAGTGTTCTCAGAGGGAGAAAATAGAACCGTGGAGACCTGCCCCACAGGCAGCTCTAAACAAAGAAACTCGCAGAGGTGGGACTTCAAGAAGGAATGAGCTAACCACACAGGAGTTGATAAAACCAACCGTCTCCTCTTCTGCTTCTTTACCTGTGCCCGGATGGCCAAAACAAAGGTAACCGGCATCTTTATGTGGTGCTTGGTAATCTGTGGTTGGACTACTTTTGTGTTTTAAAAGGAGGGAAGGAGAGCTAAGAAGATGGCTCAGCTGTTCTGTAGAGGAAACTTAACTGAGAACATAGCTGCTCTGGCAAGAGATCACATCCAAAAAGGTGTTCTGGGTCTGTGGGATCTAGTTGGAATACAAACATGCCTTTAATCCAGGAGACAGAGGCAAGCAGATCTCTGAGTTCAAGGCCAGGCTAGAACAGAGCAAGTTTCAGGTAAAGAAAAGCTTAGGTCCAGGCATGGTGGTACATGTCTTTAATCCCAAACAATGAAGGTAAAGATAGTGTTTGAAAATGATGCCTAATTGGGTGGCAGAGAAAGTGACAAATCAGAGAAAGATTAGACAGAATAGGATATGCCCAACTCTCTCGAGAACAGAGGGAAAGGGAAGCTACTTAAGGAGAAATGCAGAGAGAGAGAGGGGAGGCATTTTTACCAGGAGAGTTTTACAGAGAGGTTGAATGAGAGAACAAGCTAGGCCCAGGTGAAGACAGAAGGAGCCAGAGAATGATAAGGAGCCAGAAGATTAGAAGAGATTGCTGGAATTACTTTGAGGCCAAGCTGAGCCATTTGGAGGCCAAGAAAAAAAAAAAAAAAAAAAAGCCAGATTGAATAAATTAGGTGGGAGAGGAGTTTGAGCCGGAACAGCTGACTTGAACCAACCAGCCCAGAGCTCAGTAACAAGAAAGGGTGAGCTTATTAAGCAGTAAGTCTCAGAGGCTGAAAACATTCTAGGCCTAGGTTATATTGTATGGAGGCCAGACGCTTCCAGGACTAGGCCTAGGTTAACTGACTGAGGCAATAATCTTCTGAGGCAACAACTGAAGCAGGTGAATAAAAGCATATTTTACCTGGCTTGCCATGCAAGTTTGAAGACCTGAGTTCAACTCCTCAGAAGCCAAAATAAAATTGGCTCAGCAGCTTGTGTCCGTCATTCCAGCCTGCTGGTGGGAAGAGACAGAATTTCCCAATGCTCAGGGCTGGGTTAGTCTGGTGCACACAAGAGCTAACAACAAAGAAACCCTGACTCAGACAAGGTGGAAAGTGAGGGTGACACCTGAGGCGTGCCTACACGTCATTTATAAAGCAGACAGAGTCAAGTAAGAAACGATGTTGGCAGAGTGTGGGTTTTTAACCAGTAGTGGCCATGACAATGCCCAAGTAAAGCAGACTTCAGGAAACTAAAAACGTCTACTAGAGACAAACAGCATTATAATGAGCGGATAAATCAGTGTACCAAGAAGATACCTTGGTGGGACTATGCACCCAAGGACAGAGCTTGTGGCAACGAAGTGAGACTTGATAGACCCGTAGGCCGTGGAGAGCACTGGCTGCTCTTTCAGAAGGACAGAACTCATTTTCCAGTACCCACACAGGGCAGCTCACAATAGCTTGTAAATCCAGATCTGGGAGGTGTGAACTCTCCTGGTCTCTGCACCTACATGAGTACACACACACACACACACACACACACACACACACAACCCTTAAATTGATAGAGCTGAATGGAAAACCTGACAAATCCGTCACCATTGGGCATTCTGACATTCCACTTTTAGTGACTGATGCTGCTAAATTAGATACTGTCGCCTTGATGGCCTAAACCCTGGATTGTAAGGCAACATGAAAAAGCTTGAAAGAATGGAAGCCCTAGGATTTGTTCCCTGGGTTTTAATGCAGTCACACAGAAGGTCAGGTAACACCAGAACAAATGGAAAACTTCCAGACATTTGAAACTGTGCCTGATACAACCCAAGTAGGCCACAGTAGTCTCTGTCGGGGGTGGGCTCTCTCAAGTGTTGGAAATAAACAGGCACTCAAACAAAAGAATCAGATTTTTTTTCCCCAGTCAGAAGGGATAAGCATAAACATTGACGGGGGTGGGAACTGGAGATGCGGTGAAGTCGGAAGCCCCTGGGTCCGATGCCCCGTACGGTATAAATCCAGCATGGCACCTTACGCCTGCAATCCCAGCACGAGGGAGGCGAAGCGAGGAGAATCACGAATGCAAGGCTACCACCCTCAGCTAGTCAGCAGGTTCAAGGCCGTATATAAATACAAACCAGGAGCTGAGGCGATGACTCAGTCAAGGGCTTTCAGCGCAAGCTGCAGGCCCAAGTTTGGATCGCCAAGCACCCACGTGTGAGCCGGGTGTGGGAGTGGCAGAGACAGGCAGATCCCTGGCACCCATTGGCCAGCCAGCCTAGCTCTCAAATCAGTGAGCTCTGGCTTCAGTGTGGGACCCCGTCTCAAAATTGAGTGGTCAAAGAAGACGCTGAATGTCAGCCTGGGCCTCCACACACACATGCGCACACACACAGGTGCATATCCTCCTACGAATACACACGCGCACGCACAGAATAAAAATAAGAGGCTCTTCTGGTCCTTCCATTTGTCTACCCTATTTTTCGTGCCAGGCTTTATTGTAATGTGGGACTTGAGGTCACTGCAGTGTCTTGACATCCTGAGGAGCCAAAAAATGTTAGGGTCTTCTCTGTGTCTTTTTTTCCCCCACCATGAGCAACCTGGTGTTCAGAGGAAGGGAGGAGGAAGGGACGGGGGGGGGGGGGGAAGCTATCAACAGGAGCACTGTTCTTTGGGGAGCCTGGGTAACCCTTTATCCTTCCTTCCCTGAAGGCACAGAGCCACTGATCAGATCTAATAACACAAAAATGGCTCAAATGGCCGTGCCTTTTACTAGGAACTTAAACCTACTTTTAAAGCCTAGGCTTCTTGTTAGTGTTGTTGTTTATATAGAAAAAGCTATTTATATTTAAAAAGCTATTATGGGGTGGGGCTCGTGTGCCACAGCACACATGTGGAGATCAGAGGACAACTTTTATGGAGTGTGTTCTCTCTCCTTCCACCTTTACGTGGGCTCTGGAGATCAGACGCCGTCAGGCTCGCACCTTTACCTGCTGAGCCATCTCGACCTCCCTCTGTTAATGTCTGACTGGCACAGATCGCTTCCTCTTTGTCTCCCATAAAGTCTCAAGGCGGGTGACAAACACACACACAAACAAAACACCCCCCATTTCTGGAAGAGTCAAAGAGCTCTGAGCTCCCTGACTCGATCTTCTTCTCCCCCGAGCTAGGTCCTTGTTGGCCATTCGTGGCATTGGGAGGGCTTTGGGAGTAACCGTGGTAGCAATGAGCTGTAATAAAAGTGACCTACCTATTCTTGGGAAAGAAGATATCTTGTTGTGTTTTTGATGTAGCGTCTTGAATTCTTGAAGGGGGAGGGAAATCAGAAAGGCTTGTTAATGTCGGCATGCTGGTATGAGAGTTGAAATTCTAAATCCCTAGAACGGCTTAGAAAAAGGTAGGGGGATGAGGCCTTTAAAACACTGCTCGTGGCGCCCCCAAGTCTTGCCAGGTGCCTTTGGCCGAGCTATGCTTGCCATGTGTGGCAGCTGCATTTCACATGACCTAGCTGCTTAGGGACTGGCCTCTGTGCTGAGCACAGGACTAACGTCAGGGACACCCAGGACTGTGACAAGAGTGACCACATGCCTGCCAGTCCACTTCCGATGCCTTGCGGTCATAGTGGGGTTTGCGGTCACCCAGCCTCCTCAGAATGCCCTGGTTTTCCATGGTGATTCTCACCAGCTCACGGTTCCTTGCTTCTCTGTTTAAGCTGAAAAACACAGAACGGGGGTGTAGGGGTTTGAAGAAGAAAGCATGTCTCCAGGATGGGATGAAAGAAGAAAGCCTGCGACAGTGCACTCTGGGAAATACACATGTGCAGGTCTCCGTCGGTCGTCCTCAGCCCACGGCCTGCTGGGAGTCTAGTTGATGTGGGTTAGAGTCTTAGTGTTGAGCTCAGACTACACTCCAGCTCCGAATGACTCCATGTTGCAGAATACAGTCTTCACCCTGTGCCTTGCCCTGAGAGACTCCATCTCCCAAGCAGCCTTTCACTCTATTTTGAGGATGCAGGATGAGTCTGCACCTGGCTGGCTATGCAAACAGCACCATCTGTCCAGAGCCACCCACACACCATGGACTGCTAATCTATTTATTCTGGGGAGCAAAGAGGCTCCCATCCTACATATTTATAAAGGTGAACTGGGATTGTAGGGGTACATGGGCACATTAAAACCATATGGGTAGTAAAACTAGGCTCTAGAGCCAGACAAAGAGAGCTGGGCGGTGGTGGCGCATGCCTTTAATCCCAGGGCTTGGGAGGCAGAGAGGCAGGTGGATCTCTGTGAGTTTGAGACCAGCCTGATCTACATACAGAGCAAGTTTTTGGACAACTCAGAGCTACACACAGAGAAACCCTGTCTCAAAAAGCCAAAAACCAAACCAACTAACCAAACAAACAAGAAGAGCCTGAGGAAGGGTAACTCTCACCTGGACCCCATACAGAAGTGGACATCTTGTTTTGGGATGCTGATGGCCCCAGTTAGGCTCATCCGACCAAATATGTGGATCAAGGGACAGGCCAAGAACAACTTCCTGACTGTCCCAGGACAGCTCAGTTTCCTCTGTTGATACTTGAATTGCCACCTGCTTGTCCCGTTCACCCATCCAGACCTGAAATCCCCCAGTCCGCCCATTTGTTCATCTAGACCAGGTTCCACCCTTTTGCCTCTGAAGCCAGACTCAACTCCACAGCTCAACCTGACCCTGCTCCCTGATTCTTTTGCCCAGAGCCCCAGCCCAGAGCCCCTAACCCTCTCCAGTGACCTCCACATGGGTCATCTTATCAGGACAGAGACTATTGAGTATATCCTTCCCCAGTTTTGGCCTCTCGGGCCTCTTTATAATCTATGAATGACTTATTTCTTTAAGCTTTTGTCATCATTCTGTAGCCTACACATGCACATGCACAGAGAGCGTATGGCACTCAATGCGTAATCGAAGAGTTAATATAGTAATCAAGAAAGGAATAACTCCTTTTTATCTCAGCGAGGATGATCCAAAACAAAACAGACAACAACAACAACAACAAAAAAAGTCCTTCCTCTATTCATACATGCTGCCATTCTTTCCCTGATGTATACTTTCCCAGCCCTTACCGCATGCTTCTGTTTGTTTGTTTGTTTGTTTGGTTGGTTGGTTTTGTTTTTAAAAACAAGTGGTGTCTTAGGCAGGGAGTGTTTGGGGTTGGGAAATAATGCTCCTCATTTCGTCTCTCCATTGCTGGCGGCACCTCGCATGCAGATTTAGTCAGGGGACTTTGTGATACTGATGGTTGGAGTGTCATAGCATAGTCTTGGTTAGGACGCTCTATCTGAATATCTGTGGATCCTCCAAATCCATAGCCTGACCCCTAACTTTCAAACTGACACTAAAAGGTGGGCTGGAGGTGGGATGAGCACCTTCATGAAAGCAGTTGGGGGAGAGAACTCTTGCCCCTTCTGCCATGAGCTTCCGGTGCAAAGATGGCTGTCTGCAAAAAAGGCAAGTGGCCTGCACAGCAAGGCCACGCCTGAATCCACTGGTGCCTCTCTCCATTTTTGGACACGCCACGCCTCCAGAACCGAGAAGGAAACAGCTGCTGACTGCTTTGCACCTGAACCACCACTACACATGAGCATTTTGCAAAGGTATGTAAGTTCGTGCGTGGGACAAGGAGACAGCTGGGGAGTCTCTTCAATGGCCACAGAGGTGGGATTTAGCTCCAGAGAAAGGTTCCTGCTTGGGGAGCTGTCCATCTTCACAGCGCGGTCCCTTGCTTCTCTCCTCCCTCACTCAAACCGGAAGGGAAGGATGAGCTCCCTGAGAATAAAATGCAGAGAGAGAGAGAAAGAGAGAGAGAGAGAGAGAGAGAGAGAGAACATTACCTTTTTGAAAGATATTCATTCCAGCAGTCCACGTGGGCCGGGCCTCGATAGGCATTGGCGATTTTCTGACACAGTTGTTTATTTTCATACTCAATTTTGTCGATTCTCTTTTGCTCACCCTGGCAAGAAACCCCAACGTGGTGATGCCAGCACGGTGCGGCCTCCACATAGAGGCACACATGGCCTTTCTCTTGGATTGTGAGAAAAAGGGGGCCCTGTGGAGAGGCCTGGTGGAATCTGGGCGGAGCTTAAGGAAATGGGGTGAATATGGGGAGAGGCATGTTGATGAATCTTTAGGGGGGTGGGTACTTGGAAGGCTCTGGGGAAATGGGTCTCCTTAGAACAAAGATGAAAATAAAATCCAGCCCCAGGTGGCAAAATACCTGGAGTTTGCTCAATTTTAAAATGTAATGTGTGTGTGCCATCGGAGGTTTGGTGTCGACGGCAGGCTTCACTAGAGGGGGGAAAAAAAGCATGGTTACAGTGATTCTAACAGCTGTAGGAACCCACAGGCCACCCGATCCCAACCGCCGAACATCCCACTTTTGAATTCTGACAGTCCGGTTTAATTTTCCCACCTTACATCTCTGGAGGACTTGACAGAGGTAATAGAGCAATGAGGCCTAGTAAGTCCATATAGGTGGGTAGGGGAGCAAGCCAGTCAGTAGAGAGCCAGCCCAGCATGCCGTAGATTCTAGGTTTGATCCCCAGTACTGCCTAAACCAAGCGGTGACATGCCAGGCTGGTAATTCCAGCACCCCAGAGGTGGAAGCAGGAGGCCTGGGAGTTGAAGATCACCCTTGGCCCTCAAGGCAGCTCCCGGCTCACCTGGGCTACATGAGCCCCTCTTTCAAAAACCACAGAGGTAAATCTCCTTTCAACCCAGTGAAACAGCATCTTTCTCACGCCCTTCCCAACGTTACTGGGAAGTCTATTGGGGGCCGAACTCATGTTCTCTAACTTCGGCTCCAAAGAGTTTAAAAGTTGACACTTTCTAGCCCACAGATGTTCAGGAAGAGGATAAAGTTTGTCACTGATCGCCATGACCTCTTGGCTAAACTCAGCAGACGAGGCCGCATCGCCCCAAAGCTAGGGCTAGAGTAGTTCCTCTCCCTACGCTTCTTTGGTCGATCCTTCTAGAACTTCCGATGGCAGCGCCCAGCCCCGGCGGTCCACTTACCTATCTGTACTCTATTCTTGTGTAATATGTAGTGACCGAAGTCAAGCTTTTTCCTGAAGTTTGTGCTTTGCCTGTGATTAGAAACAATAACAGGGTAGGCGAGGTAATCCAGGGAATTATTCATCTTCTCCTAGTTTCTCTTCAGAAATGAGACTCTGCCTCCCCTGCCAGGCACTTAGCTGTCCCAGGACAGGGTGTCATAGTTACCCAGTTATGACATCAGGGGCCAGTCTCAGTGGGAGGCCAGGAGAAGAGCATGTTTGGCTGTCTCTGAGCGGCCTTCTAAAAATTTTTTTTAATTTTTAAGTTGAGATAAAATTTATACATGTTAATGGGGTGTGGACGGTACTTACATGCCCTCTGTCATGACTGGATCAGGGTAAGTGGCATGTCTCTCTCTTTCCCCTCAAGCATTTATAGTTCTGTGCCGGACTTTTGGTTTCTTGCTAAGTCAGGGCCACCTCATGATGGAGGAAAAGGGGCTTAGAAGCTCCTGGCCTGCCTGGAAAGTAGATGTCGCCAAGGATGGAGGGGAAGGGAAAGGCATGATGTGGAGGCCCCTGGCTAGCACAGGCAGAGAGGCTCAGGGAGGGAGGAGTTCCAGCCCTCATTGTGCCAGAGCTAGGAAGTCATAGTCTCCTGCAAGGTTTCCCTGATGATCTGAAGATCTGAGACAGTAAGCTTCTGTGGAGAGTGAAACACAAGAGCTGAGTTAGGATGTGGATTCCTGGATTCCAGAGACTGTATTTGCCCCTTTGGAGTTAGGGACCCTGCTGTTGTTTTCAAAGGCAACTGGAAAAGACACTTTGATTAGAGTGAGATACTGTGCCCTTTGCCCTTAGTGAAAACTCAGGAGAGGACCAGCTACTGACAAAGTGTGGCTCCGAGTGGAATGGCAGCTGCTCCAGGAAGACTGCAAAGGATAGAGCGAAGGGAAATTTACACTAGCTCAGCTCCGCGGGTTCGGGAGTTCACAGAGACGTGCTTCTGGTACTGCTGCGCCTGATTATTCAGTGTTCGGAGCTGAACCAGAGCTTTTGTGAGCTTTTGTGCATGCTAGGTACCTTACCAGCCCAGGAACCTCCTCAGCCCCTTGAATGTTTCTGGAATCTTTCCAGCAATCCTTGGAAGTTAGATGTTGCCATATTCTTTAATGCAATGCTTGGCACAGAAGTGCTTAGGAATTTTAGAACACATTAATATTTACATAATGAGAGATTTAGGGGATGGATCATGAGCTAAACATGAAATCCGTGTTCAGAGATGAACATATCCCGAGTATAATGCTGTACAGTAATTTTTTAGTGCACCTGTGTTTTGACTGTCATCTGTCACAGGTCAGGTGCGAGAATTTCCCGCTTGCTTTCTGTTTGCACTCAAAAGTTAGTTTTGTAAACACTTCAGTTCTCCAACATTATAGCTGCTCAAACTATTATCGTGACTCTGTAGCACCCTCCTCCCTTTTATTCGCCAGCAAAGGGGCTCAAATTAATCACTCAGGGTCAGATGTGCGTGTTTTTGGAGTGAAGGAATGGACGCCCACGCTGCTGGTCTGCAGACGGAAGGGTTCACAGCAAACCCCAGGGGACCCCGTTATCCTGAAAGAGGGACACCAGGTATACCCCAGGTGTCCTGTGCCTGCGCCTCCGCTGCCTTACCCAGGGCGAGGACCCGTGACTCGGGACTGACGACATCTGGGCCAGGGACGCGCTCCGGGGAAACGGTGGCGCGTGTCCTCTGCACTCCGCAGCGCCCCGCCGAGCGGCGCCCACAGCTTCCAGCACCCGGTGGGCCCGCCTCCGGGGCGGAGCTGGGCGGCTCCCGTTTGGGCAGCCCCGCCCCGCTGACCCGGCTTCTCCCCTCGCTCCATCCTGCCCCGGCGTGCTGGGCCCCGCCGCCGCCGCCATGTCCGGCCCATTTGAGCTCTCGGTGCAAGATCTCAACGACCTGCTCTCGGATGGCAGCGGCTGCTACAGCCTCCCGAGCCAGCCCTGCAACGAGGTCATCCCCAGGGTCTACGTGGGCAACGCGTGAGTAATTCGGGAGGGCTGACCCCGCCGCTGCTCCCCGGGCGCCCCGCCCACTCGGCTGGAGTGGAGTCCGCGGGCGTGGGCAGGGTGAGGTCGGGGGGGGGGTACCCCGGGCGTGGTCGGTGACCTGAGAGCAAGAGCGGGGACTGGGGACCGGATCGGAGTCGATGCCCACTCCCTGCGCGTGAAGCCAAGGAGCTGGACTCCGCATGCGCTGAGACCCGAAGGTGCCCGGCCCTGCCCTCGGCCACCGCCCGCTCTGGCTTGGGCTTGGGCGGGGTCGAGGCTACCACGTTCTCCTAACAGGTGGCAGGGTTGTCTCTTGGCCGCTCGCGTCATGTGACAGCTGCCTAGTTCTGCAGTGAGGTCACCGTGGAATGTCTGCCCTCGTTGCCATAGCAACGGGATGACGTTTCAATCCGGGTGTGGAGCTTTTTCTGTCCGTGTCAGGAAATCCAAATACCCTAAAATACTCTAGAAGGGGAAGAGGCTGGGCCAAGGCTTTCCTGGCTTCTCCAGATAGGGTTTGACTAGGATGGGACAAATCAAAATGATAAACTCTGCAGAAGATCTGCCGTCTGAATATTCCCCCTAATCACACCACCAGGAAATATGTGTGTTATTGCTCTCTTATGCGTTGTTACGAGAAAGTGCTTTTAGCCGTGCTGCTAATAAGAATTTCTCAGCACTGGGAGAGGACCAGTATTAACACCGAAAGAAAGGCTGGCATGACCCACATTGAGGGAAGGTCCACACTGGATTGTCATGATTATGAAGGCCCATTTATCATTGTCCTAAGCTCTGAGGTCCAGACTAAAGACTGCTTGTCAACACTAATAACCAAGCCTTCCTCTATTTTTGCACAATAGGAAGTGGCGGCCGGGGGTTGTTGAGATGTTGTGAGGACCTTTCAGTGTCTTTTTTTTTTTTAATGTATACAATGTTCTGTCTGCATGTGTACCTGCGTACCAGAAGAGGGCACCAGATCTCATTATAGATGGTTGTGAGCCACCGTGTGGTTGCTGGGAATTGAACCCTGGGTCTGGTGGAAGATCAGCCAGTGCTCTTAACCCCTGAACCATCTCTCCAGCCCCCGACCTCTCAGTGTCTTACATGTGTGTTTGCTGCCCCGCACCTATGACCTGCTGTTTAACCTGCCGTGGAACCAGAGGGGATTCAACGTGGCAGGTCCCAGACACTTGGGGACAGGTTGCGTGGAGGGAGCACCTGCTGTGTGTCAAACGCTGTGGTGGTGTTCGTTCTTGATAATGGCGGTAGGCTAACGGTGCATCTGTGGGCTGTTGGGCTAGTGTTAGAGAACTGAGGTGTGTGGGCACGTGATTCTGCATTCTGTCGGCAGCCTGTTCGGTCTTGCTCAGGGTCCTGAACAGGAGTGGCTAAACAGACCCACAGGCTCATCCCCCAGCTCATTTACTGCATAGTCCTAGGGAACCCCTCCCAGCCCTCCGGACCCCAACTACGTAAGAACCTGGCATCCTCAGGAGCCTGCTTGCTGGGGACAGTTTGTTGCTTTTGTCTGTGGTGGCTTCTCTAGGCATAGTGGCAGGTATGATGGCCGCCTCGGAAAACACAGCCTTTGCCCTCTGTGCAAATCTGACCTTGACGTGGAGTGAGCTCAGCTGGGAGGATCAGCTTTGTACCTAGTGTAGAGAATGGTGCTTCCTCGCCCACCCGGAACTCCTGGACCAAACGGGTTTTAGCCGCATCCTCTCGGGGCAGAGAGGGGGTCTGTGTGAGCTGCGTTTCCCATCTCTGGGTTTTATAGGTGGTGTGGGCCTGAGAGGCGGAGGGAGGTAGGAGGCAGAGCGTGGCTGAATGTCTGGAGAAAGCTTCCCTCTCAGCGCTGGGTTAGCAGCCCACGTGAGCACACCTGTATTTCCCTGCCTGTCCTGCTGAGTTTAAGCTCTGCTCCCTGGGGACAGCACAGCCCTGTCCTCTCTTCCGGGCCACCACGAGAGGCAAGACGGGACTTGCAGGGGATACTGCTCTGTAAAGCACAAACTGCTGTTTTTATTGGGGTGTTGTGAGGGGAAGTGAAGGGCCTCTTTGGCCATCCAGGCAAGGTATCTTCTAGCTCCTATCATTTTTTTGGGGGGGGGGGGGTGGGGAGTGGCTGCTTAGGTGCTAAGACATTCCGGTGTGGCAGGGTCGATCTTCCGGGGCATCTGCCATGTGACGGTTTCGTTCTTCACTCGTTCACAGTACATCTGTCTGGTTCCAGCTGTGTGCAGGCACCTCAGCAGGTACTGAGGGCGCAGACTGCTCAAGGAACTCTCAGACTAAAGCTCTGAACAAATAAGCATGGCCCCGCCTTGGGATATAAACAACACAGAATCCGTCTGTGCCAACAGAACAGCCGCCTTTAAACACTCAGGACGACACCCCCCCCAAAAAAAAAAGTTAGCAGTATTGCCCCCATTTTACAGAGAGGAAGACAGAGGCACAGAAAGATTAAGTGGCAGGGCTGCATTCAGACCCAGACATTGTGACTCCAGGGTCTATTTTTCTTTTGTTTTGTTGTTTGAATCTGGGTCTCACTGGGTAAACTCAGGCTGGCCTTAAACTCATGATCTTTCTCCCATGGCCTCCTGAGTGCCAGGAGTACAGGCGTGTGCTACCATGCCTGACTCTCTATAGCTTGTGTACACCATCATCACAATATAGGAACTGTGATGGCAGCAGGCACGCTGGAGGGAGCCGGGGAGATCCCGCAGAGGGCTCTGCAGGATGAGAGGTGAAGCTACACAGGAGGGGAAGGGGAGCCGAGGAAACAGCACGGGCCTAGACCCACGAGTCTATTTGGGGAAGCTGCTGGTAACTAGATATGGCTGGGGTGAGGGGACAGGTCATGAGATGAGGCAGGAGGAGCCGCTGGGTACAGGCTTAGCTCTTCCTCCTCCTCCTCCTCCTCCTCCTCACTCCATTTTTGTCCCCGCCTCCCATCCAGGTCTATAGCTCAGGACATCACCCAGCTGCAAAGATTGGGCATCACCCACGTCCTGAATGCCGCCGAGGGCAGGTCCTTCATGCACGTCAACACCAGTGCCAACTTCTACAAGGATTCCGGCATCACCTACCTGGGCATCAAGGCCAATGACACACAGGAGTTCAACCTCAGCGCTTACTTCGAAAGAGCTGCAGACTTCATTGACCAGGCCTTGGCTCATAACAATGGTAAGAGAGAGGGCTTTGGCTTTGACTTGGTCTGGCCTAGGAAACAGACCCCAACGAGGTCTCCCTTTTGGATGTTCTTTGTTTCCTGTCCCCTGTGGTGACGACTGAAGACTTCAAGGCTCTCTTTGCCTGTCTGCTCACCTGGCCCCCCCCATTACACAAGCACTTTTGGGTGGTGGGAGCACCAGGGTCCTTTGCCTTTAGTTTGACTTGGGCAGAAAGTGCTTTCCAGCCATCTGCCTCGTCCTCCCGACTCAGACGCCTGTGGTGATGACAAAGGCTCGCCTAACGTCCAGGACGGGAAGTCCTGAGGTGAAGGAGCACGCCGTTGTCGGTTGGTTGATTCAGTAGCTCAGTGAATCTGGTCAACACTACTGCGTAGATGAGTTAGTTACATTTAAACGGCTGTGACCGAGAGTACAGCTTGAAGGAGGAAAGACGTTTATTTCACGCCGTCGGGGGTTTCATTCAGCGGGAAGCTGGTCCCGTGAGCACGGACAAAAAAGTCACCGCAGTGGAGCGCGTGAACCAGGAGGCCCTTTACCTCATGGCAGACAGGCCCTTGACCTCTGTGCCATAGAAAAAGGATAATAGTATTTCTGACGTAGCGGGCAGCGGTTAGGTAGCGAGGCTTCTTTCCCTTTGATTTGTGCCCATCTGTGTGTGTGTGTATAGACATGTGTACGCATGTGTATATGTGTTCGTGCATGTGCCTATGTGTGTGCGTTCCAGTGCTTATGTGTAGGTGTGTCTGTGTGTATGCATATGTGAGTGTTTTGCACGAGGAAGCCAGAGCTGATACTGAACGTCATCTTCAAGTCACTCCCCACCTAATTTTTTGAGACAGGCTCCCTCCCCAATCCTGGAGCTCATGGATTTATCCTGGCTGCCGGCCAGCGAGCCCCAGGGACCCACTTTTATCTGCCTCCCTGGCTCTGTGACTGTGGGCGTATGCTGCTGTGCTGGGTGTTTATGTGGGTGCCATGTGGGTGAGAAATCCGAGGGCCGCCGGGCAGATGTCAGCAGAGCAGATGGGTTCTCCCAGCCTCTTCCCATCACGTCTTCCTCCCTCTGTGGAGCAGAGGTGGCCCACTGTGGATGCCAGGCTTTGCCCTTCTCACGTGGCAGTGGTCACTCACCCACCTGCCTTCATCTCCTCGTTCTAGCCCACGGGGAATGTACGCTGACTCGTTCTGACCTCTCGCCTTGGTGTATATGGGTAGATGGGATCTTTGGTCTGGGATGTTCTCTGCCCATTTCTCACCATCCTCTGGAAAACCCTATTCGCATCCTACCACGGGGCTAGTGTCCCTCTTTTATGGAGCCCATCCTCAGGCTCTCAGGGACCAGCATTGTCCCTGGCCTCCTCTCCCCAGCACCTGGTGTCCACTGAAGGTGATTGCTGAACAAGCAGGATGCTTCCCAGGGCTTTGATGCCTTGTACGTAAGTCCATACTGCTGAGATGGAACGAAACTGGACCCAGCCTCTTGCAGGTTTCCAGGGGACAGGAATTCCTTACTAAAGAAA